TACATTGTTTGCATTTATTCCTGCTGCAGATGGAATATGTGAATTGGCAGTCATACAACCAAATGTACGCACAGCGTTAGCGCAATGCAGTTATAGGCCAGTTAGTCTAAAGACTGTGTTCCACGCTCACCTTCACAATGTGCAGTATTTGTTCTTTCCAAATCTCACAACTGTAATTTTAAAATGCCAAAATGGTGTTAAGCAGCTAGTTGTGAAAGGGCATTACAAGGCTCCTGATTACTGTGAAATCACTTGTAGTACATTACGGACCTTGCCTACTCATCAGCATTTTGCGTTAAATCGAAAACTCAAGTCTGCTTTAATTCCACTTCCTATAATGAATTTCACTATCAAGGATATTCAAATAGTATCAGAGAAATTAAAAGTGTTAGCTTTCTTGAACGAGACACATTTTGCTGATTTGAATAATAACTTGCCATTTTACCTGTCACGGGAATTTGCTCTACCAAGTCTTACGATTCCCTCTATTCTGTTAATTCTGGCAATAATGTTCCTGTTCTGTTATTACCGGGCAGTATCATCCAAATTCAACATTGTTCATAACATACTAACCCGTACGACACAAAAGTCTAGGTCCCCTGTAGTAGAGAATACCCCTACAGTAATTTCCCCAGCTTAGTGTCTACATATCTGTTTATAACATGGTTAGGGTTGTCTAGGATGTACTGTACTCTGTGAGTTATTTAGGCCTCACGGAGCTCGGCTGGTAGGTGACCGAGCGATGTAATAGGCCCCTGTCTCATCAACAGAACGTATTATATAAATGGGTCAATACATCTGATATTATATTCAGATTCACCACCCTGTAACTTTCCACTGTCTATGAGTAAGACATGAGATTGACACGTGAGCGGGCAACTTACCCAAGAGGGCGAGACCCATAGCTCAGCATTCCTGTAAGCACGCACTGCGATGCCCCTAAGCTTCAGTAGCTCACCTCAAGTCATATCGTAAGGACGTGACCTAACGTTTATCATACATAAACGCCGTCCCTTTCTCATTCACTCCTAGACAGTGAGACTTACGGTTGATATACACTCAGGAATTATATCTACAACCTTTTATAATAAAACAAAGGAACTACCGTTTGGGTTTCGTTACTTAAAACCCAAATATAAATATGTGTGAACGGACTGGTTAATTGGACAAGCAGCCGATTCACGCCCGATTGTGAGTGATTTGCAAAACACATGGGAAGATTGGTTACAGCAGGTTGCAGCGTCTATTAATTGGTCGATTAATAGCTCTACGAGCAAATCACCCTACTACATTGTACATGGTACAGATAAACGTCTAACTTATGATGTACTTACGGATACGCCCAACCCTGTTTATAATATGGATGATTTCGCGGCAAAATAAATCCTTGTTTTTACGGATATTTATACCCAAGTAAGATCACATTTAGCAGCGTCCCGCGCTGAAATGATGGTCAAGCAACATAAACATGCTAAACCTGTCGTGTTAAACGCAGGAGATGCTGTTATGGTACGAGAACCTGAAAGGAACTCCAAGCTATCGGCTAAATTTTCGGGTCCATTCCGCATTATTGCCAAAGAAACAGGCAACAAATTTAAAATTTGGAAGCCGAACGCACAGATTGCAGATGTCGTGCATGCGAACCGTCTTAAGAAGACCCAAGAGAATTTATTGCCCACAGTTGATGATGATGTGATAGACACCTCTTTACAGACTGTACAGGAGCAGAGTGTGCCAAATGACTATTGTATGAAATTGCGTTCTGCAAGCAGATATTAAAACGTGTGTAATCTCTTACAGAATGGCTTGGAACATCATTGTGTTACTTCTACTGTGTTGTGGCACCGTTGTGTTGACAGACATGTCCACATCAGTCCTCAAACCAGGTGTGCTTGTTGCCCTCCTTGGAACCGTTCTCATAGTTGAGGACGTGGTGAACATCAAGTATGAGTTACATGGACTGCTCCAACTTCCCCGTCAGATGGAAAACGTCGACGCGCAGCTACAATCAGCATTGGATATCCTACAGAGTCTCAGTTCAGCTACTAACGTATCGACGATGGCTTCACAAACTATTGACCTTCTACACTTTCGTCTCTTGAACCTTCGCAAGCTTCTTGTTGCTGTTGGAAAAAGCATACCAGCGTCTGAAGTTGATCTTGCAAAAGAAGTGCGTTCTCAGACACGACGAAAAAGGGGTTTATTTAATTTTGTGGGTCTTATCCAAAGCACTCTATTTGGCGCGGCAACGGCCGACGATGTAGCTAAATTGGGGGACCGAATGAACATTGTCGATCAAGCTGTATCTCAGAAGAATCGCGTTATCTCGCAAACATTTCATGCGATTACTGCTTTAGAGTCAAAAGTTAATGCGATAATATCGGAGTCTAACCATGTATCGAGGGTTGTTAATAAGTTATAAAAATCATTCCCGACGTTAAAGTAGCTCCTTTATTTCACAGAATATTTGCATGCTGCGGAAATTTCAGTTCAGAAGGTTGTTACCTGTAATACCGAACTAATTGACAGCATAGTAGATGCAGGGATAGGGCGTGTGGACGCAAAGCTTGTGCCTGTGCAGACTCTTCTTGATGCTTTACAGATTGCCAAGTTGCAGTATCACTAAACTCCTATTTTTAATGATAATGAGGTAGAATATTATTACCCTCTGTTGGAGTCGACTCTCATGCACAGTGCTAATCTCATCCACATCCATATGCGAGGGCAACATCAGTTTAATGTATGGCATTTAGAACCCTTCCCCTGGTTTGTTAACGACACACTGTATACTCTGGATAACCCTAAAGAACTTTTCCTTATAGATGAAGATTATTCTTTATTGGCAGTAGAGGATCCTGTGGTACTGTCACTGTGTAAGTCGTCATATCTACACCTCTACTTATGTCCAGCCGATATGTTCGCGTTTATTCCTGCTGCAGAGGGAATATGCGAATTGGCAGTCATACAAACAAATGTACGCACAGCACTTGCGCAATGCAGCTATAGGCCAGTTAGTGTCAATACTGTGTTTCACGCTCATCTCCACAATGTGCAGTATTTATTCTTTCCAAATACAACTACTGTTATTTTAAAATGCCATGATGGTGTTAAGCAACTAGTTGTGAAAGGTCATTACAAGGCTCCGGATTATTGTGAAATCACTTGTGGTTCATTACGGACCTTGCCTACTCATCAGCACTTTGCCTTAAATTTAAAACTCAAGTTTGCTTTAATTCCACTTCCTGTCATGAATTTCACTGTAAAGGATATTCAGATTGTTTCAGAGAAATTAAAGGTCATTGCATTCTTGAAGGAGACAAAATTTGGTGATTTGAATAATAATTTGCCATTTTATTTATCAGGGGAATTTGCTAAACCTGGTCTCACAATTCCCACTATTATGTTAATTTTGGCAATCATGTTTCTGTTTTGTTATTATAAGTCAGTGTCATCCAAAATGAAACTTGTGCATAACATTTTAACCAGTAAGACACTAAAGTATAGGGCCCCTGTAGTAGATAAAACCCCTACAGTCGTTGAATCCCCAGCTTAGTATCTACACCTATTTTTATAACATGGTCAGGGTTGTATAGGATGTACTGTACTCTGTGAGCTTATTTAGGCCTCACGGAGCTTGGCCGTTGGTGACCGAGTGATGTAATGGCCCCTGTCTCATCAACAGAAGTATTATATAAATGGGTTATTTACATCTGATTTATATTCAGATTCCTCCCCTGTAATTTTCCACTATCTGTGAGGACATGAACTGAACACATGAACGGTAGCTTTCCCAAGAGGGAGAAGTCCATATGTCAGCATCTATGTAAGCGCGCACCAAGGCGACGCCTTCAGGCAGTCACTCACACCAACTAATATCGAACGGACGTTGATTCACGTTTATATACATAAACGCTGTCCCTTCTCATCACACTCATAAATAGTGGAACTTATGGTTGATCTACACTCAGGAATTATATAAATATAATACTTTTCTAATAAAACAAGAAACTTCAATTGGCTTTTGTTACTAAAGCCCAATATATTGAGCCAACCTGGTTAATTGGGAATTAACCAACCGGCTCAATAATAATAATAATAATAATAATAATGATAATAATAATAATAATAATAATAATAATAATAATAATAATAATAATAATAATAATAATAATAATAATAATAATAATAATAATAATAATAATAATAATAATAATAATAATAATAATAATAATAATAATAATAATAATAATAATAATAATAATAATAATAATAATAATAATAATAATAATAATAATAATAATAATAATAATAATAATCTTTTCTTTTTACCCATTTAACTTTACTGTTTGGCACAAATGAACCATATAGTTTGTTCATATCAAGTTTTTATTACAATAAATATGTGGTGCCTACTTCCTGATTGTTTTGATTACTAATTTATCACATCAGTACGATGTCTTTCATCTATTTTATTCTGGCTACCGCCAGACGATTTTATTCATCCGCGGAACTTCCATATATATATCCATAATCCATTTGCTCAGAAAAACTTTTGCAAAGGAACACTTTACTTATAACATGAATTCATTCCCCTCTCATTCTATCGGAACTTTAATATTTTCATCTGGCTATCACGAGACGATTACTTTTAGCAGAGGATACTCTGCCAGTATTGTCAAAATGTTATCCTGCATTGTAATCTCTTCTAACTAATATGCATTTTCCGTCTGCATCCCTCTACTAGTACCCAGTCTCCTTTCCACAGAAAGACAACTTGCCGATACATTCCTCCGCTTCACCCTCGTGCTCACAAGCGAATGCTTCGAATTCACATTTCAGAGTTCGGGGGTTCAGATCTCAGGGAGATAGAGGATTGGCAATGCTAAGTGGTAAAGTCAGGAGTAGACCTAACTGTACCTATTGACCTGTAATAATTTATAATGTACAGTGTCACCATTCGTAAAGGGACGTAAAGGAGGAGGACATACACGTAGATTATGACATGCCAGACATGGGTGTAAGTAACGTGTTCACATTTCAGACACGTGGTGGTGGGATCGTCGGTAAAGGAGATGGAGGAGATCGTTAACACCATCAAGGGTAGGAGGACACAACACCTGCTGGGAGTCATCCAGGTGAGAGTATGACTTAAGCTACCTGTGATTGGCTGACGGGCACTATTGAACTTCTCGATACTTAGCTCTGAATGGTTAAGAAACCGCTACTAATCTCCTTAAATTATTGTTACTGGTTAGGGCACCACTACTAATAAATTTATCTAGTTATGGTTAGAACGTCACCATCATTCTCGTCACTTCAGGCCAATTGCAAGAACTGTCATGGTGTACACCACGCTGTGGTATCCCGGCGGTCGTAATACAATGGAATAAATTGAATGATTTTTCAAGATGGGCCTTGGTGGTACCCGACTGTCATTTGTTGTAATTACTCCATCGTATTGTAGTCATGTGTACTAACTGGCGGAAGACTGGGGGGTTGGTATGCTTGCAATCTCAAAACGTTGTCAGTGGAATGAAACGCTTACTCTTGCTACACGATTTACGAGCATGAAAAACTTGAATCCCAAGCTAAGGTGCCAATTCTAGGAATGAAATACGATTACTTACAGTGAGTATAGATAAATAAAGCCTGTGACAACATAAAAACGTAGGAATAGAGTGTAATATCTGTTAGGTATTCTGGGTAATAAGTTCTATATACAGGAGAGAACACAAACACCTGTATAGTTTTGTAGGTTCGGTTTACTGGATAAGAGTATGTACACAGAGGTGGATAGCACTGCTCCCTAGCTAAGGTCCTGGTCAACTACCATAGACGACGTATGGCAAGTGATACATTAGCAGCTTCCATACGTCGCCAGGCACATTAATTAAGCGTGTGGGATATGGTAATAACATTGCCACACGCTGCTAGCTAGGCTGAATAAATATAATGGAGCACATACATAATATATACATACATAATACATAATCCAGCATACATAATATACACACACCTCCCTCCCCTATACGCTCATAGCAAAGTCTTGAGCGGACCTTTTCCTGGATCCGTTCTGAGCGTCGAGGGACTTCATCACTGGGAAGGTATGGGACTCAACACTGGTGGCGGGGCCAGCAGAAGGACATGTGCGGGGCGGAGAAAACGGCGGTTCCTCCACCACACACGACCACTGGGTAACCGCACCTGGTAGTCCCGTGACCTGCCGAGACCCATGACTACGCCTACTTTGTCCCAACGTAGGGAGGTCGGGTCCTGAACACGGACTTGGGTGCCGACACTCAACCTGGGGAGGGAACGGCGTGGTCGTTGTAGCGGGCGACGACGTCCTGAACACGTTCGGCGGCTCGGCGATCACAATCCTCTGTCTTGGCCTGCCACTCCTTGGAGAAGGATTGAGGGTGAGCAGGGACACAAGAACGAAGGGGGCGTCCATACAAAACCTGGGCAGGGGAGCGTCCGGTGTAGTTGGGTGTGTTGCGGAGTTCAAGAAGACCCCGGTCGAAGGCCTCGCAGTCAATATTCCCAGAAGGGGCCACCTTAAGGATGAGGTGCTTCAAGGATTTGACAGCAGCCTCAGCGTGGCCGTTGGACTGCGGGTAATGGGGCGATGACAACACATGCCGGACTCCCCATCGGTCGAGGAACACGGCAAAGTCCCGGCTTGTGAACTGAGGCCCTCCGTCGGTTCGCAGGCGTACAGGAACGCCCACGTCACGGAAGTAGTGGCGGAACTTGCTGATGGTGGCGGCAGACGTCGTGTCATTACCGCCCTTGATGACAACCGGCCAACCAGAGAGACGGTCGACGATAACCAGGAAGGACTTTCCTGACACACAGAAAAAGTCGGCCGACACAGACTCAAAGGGGCGGGTGGGGTTGTCGTCACTCATGAAGGGTACCTGCTGCTGGCTGGGTTGTAATACGTGGCGGGGCTTACACACCTGGACAGCATTGGAGATGTCGGGGTCGATGCCAGGCCGGAACACAGTCTGTCGTGCACGTCGTTTGGTGGCCTCAGCTCCACGGTGACTGTCGTGAAGGCGAGCCAGGGCGTGGGGACGTGATGCAGCAGGGACAACTACCGAAGGAGAGGTGTCACTGGCCAGAGGTAGGGGTAGGGCGGCAGCAGGGTAGTTGCTGCTCCCTTCATGCACCCTGTTGGCGTAATTTACCTCGAGAATCGGTGTTGGGAAGTCCTGGGAGATGATGGCCAACTCTTGACAATGTCTGTAGGACAGCAAGGGAGTCGGGACGCCATTATGCACGTCAATCCAGGCCTGACTCGACCTGTTGCCAAAGGTGACATGTGCATAAAGTGAACCTAGGGCTGGGGCCATCTGTGAACCATCTGCCGTGACGCAGAGGTCCTCGGGAGGCGGTCCTAGATCGCTTGGAGAGAGCCCCAAGCATCGCAAATGCTGGGGACCGATGACTGTAGCATCAGCGCCGGTGTCGGGCAACATCTGGAGACGGGATGACACACTGCGGTAGGTCACAATGACACTGATGTACTGGGGAACTTTGGTCCTGGGACGCGGGGGGGAGCACACATTCCTAATATGGCTCCAGCGTTGTCCAGGGTCGTCGTGCCTCTGATTGGGAGACTGTGGGCGGCCCTCTCTGGTAGAAGGGCGCTGAAGCTTCCGTTGACGCTGTTCCTTGGGTTTGTTGGAAGGGCAACACTTGTCATAGTGGCCCAGACGGCCGCACACATTGCACTGGACGCGTTTGGCTGGGCACCGTACTGTGAGTGACCAGTGGCCCTTACGGTCACAACTGTTGCAGGTAGACTGAGCAGCTGGACATACCTGTGTTCCGTGCTGCTTACCACAGTTGTTGCAAAATGAACCGGGCGTGGACGTGGTGGGCGAAGGCGTAGGAGCAGACTTCTTGTCCTTCTTGTACCGGGAAACAGCGCGTACAGCTGTAGGGGGAGCTCGGATGGCAGAGGTGGCACACCTGGCAGCCTCATAGGAGCGACATATCGTCAACACATCCTGAAGAGAAGAGGAAGAGTCGAGGGAGGTGAGGCGTTGGACAAGTTCCTCGTCCTTAACACCCATCAGGATCACCTGCTTCAACTGGGTCTCCTCGCACTGCTGGTGGTGGCCTAAACATATATCTACCTCTTCCGAGGCTCTCTTAAGACGTACATAAAAAGCGTCAAAAGACTCACCCTCCATCTGTCTGCAGCTAAACAATTCCCTCCTGCGCAGAGCTTCATTCTGCTGTCCTTTGATGTGCCGTTGTAGAACGTCCAGTACCTCCTCTACAGACAGCGAAGAGGTTGGGGGTACCTGCAACGTATGTTCTAAGACACGCTGAACTTCCAAGGACAGGCACATACGCAGCTGGATGAGTTGTTTAGGCTGTGACAAACTCTGGAGATCCACCATTGTAGCATAATCAGCCCACCGCCGCCGCCATTCGCGAAAAGTCTGGAAATTTACATCAGGCTCCAAGATGGGCGGTGTTTGAGCTGCTGCTTTAGGTGGGGCTGGGGGGCGTGAAGGAAGCATGGATGAGGTATCTGAACCATTCAGTACCGAGGCAGTGTTAGAGCCAGGGGCTTGGTTAACAGTGAGGCGAGATATCAAGGCTTCAAACCGTGCACTGTCTTCCATTCTCCGTTGGTGGTCTCGTTCTGCCTCTGCTTGCCTTCTGTGCTCATCCGCCAAACGTCTGTGAGCTTCATCCTCGCGTCTCTCATCTCTCATAAACTTCATTAAGGCAATTATCTCTGGAGATAACGCTGAATGTTGAGGTGAAGGGCTGCGCGATGTTGTGGGAGCTGGGCCGGCCTGGTCATCCATCTCTGGGGGACTATCATCCGCTTGACTCATCCAGGCGCTGGGTCCACGGCTACGTAAGGCATGAGATATAACTACTTCCTCTGTGTACTGTGTCTTAAATCAGTGTTGACCGGTCAGCCCGTCGTATCAACAAGATTTCAGACAAAAAAATTTAATTAAATACACAGATAAGTAGGTTATATATATAAAATATATATAAGAAAGCCGCGCGGTCAGCAAGTGTTAGTACATGTATGTGTGTGTGTCCCAGGCAGGCAGAGCGTCTCGCCCCAGCTGTGAGGGGGGGTGGAGGCGGCGCTGTGAGGGAGGGGGGTGGAGATAGGAGTAGCTCAGTCGCTCTCTGTAAACGGTCAGAGGAGGGTGCGCTGAGCTCTACACCCCACAAATGCCCAGAACATGCCGTATACCTTGGAAATCCGTTCGAACAAGGTCACACATGAATGGCACGAAACACACAATGCACTAAACACTTCACAGAAAATCACTGTCACTGACACTGCTCAAAGTTGCGAAATTCTTCGAGGGATGACGCGGGGTTGACCCAAGGCGGGGATCCATCAGCCGGCTTTCCACAAACTTGCACTAATCACTCGTAATAATCCAGTAAAACTACGCACTGCGCCATGTTAGGTATTCTGGGTAATAAGTTCTATATACAGGAGAGAACACAAACACCTGTATAGTTTTGTAGGTTCGGTTTACTGGATAAGAGTATGTACACAGAGGTGGATAGCACTGCTCCCTAGCTAAGGTCCTGGTCAACTACTATAGACGACGTATGGCAAGTGATACATTAGCAGCTTCCATACGTCGCCAGGCACATTAATTAAGCGTGTGGGATATGGTAATAACATTGCCACACGCTGCTAGCTAGGCTGAATAAATATAAATGGAGCACATACATAATATACATACATAATACATAATCCAGCATACATAATATACATACAATATCTGTTCCTTTCTTCTGTATCCTTTTTAAATCTAACTTTAAAGTAATAAGTTCGTCACGAACTTGGGGTTGGGTGAGTGTAAATAAAGAGAACAGTATTAGGTATTATAATTTTGCTTTGACAGTGATGAATTCACTGTACAGATGAATTGGGATAAAATCTTGAAAAAATATCACCATAACTGTTAGTTTTCTATCAAACAGGAAATTATCTTTGTACCAAAAATTTCGCTTTCATTTTATACAAGTATAAAGGCCAGTTATCTTCAAGATATGAAAACTTGAGATAATGTTTCCTACTTGTCTCCACCTGATTATAGTAATGCAATAAATACTCTATGAAAGAAAGCAAGACATGAACACTTTCTCAATGTCAGGAGTGAAAATGTATACCAGCACTTTGAGAAAAGTATCTGCTGCTTAAATGGTCTTTTATTTGGGAAAATATTCCATGTAAATACTGCATATGGATCCTCACCAGAGAGTCTTCATATAGTTAGTGTGCAGACATTTGTTTACAAGGCATATACTCACAACTATAATGGAAAGGAAGACATATTAGGTTAGGTTAGATTAGGTTCATCTTGTGAGCAAATGTCATGGAACCCATATACAGTCGGTATATTCATGAAATGCTACCAACTAATCAGAGACTAATAATGTTAAACATAGAACAAGATGATAATTAAGTGGTTTAAAAATACCCCCCATACAGTCTGAAATGCTAATTGCAAATTATTTCTGCATTTTCTAATGTTTAATATAAACTGTAATAACAATGAGGATAAGAATACAATGATAATGCTTAAGTCAGAATATAGCCTTCATTAAAAGCAGGATATGTTATAATATATGGATAATCAAGAGTACAGTATTTTAAAGGAAAAAGCATCTACAAATTTCAAAAACATATTAATACGTAATATCCTTGTATGTATGCAGAGTGTAAAATTTAAAAAATAATAATAATTAAGGCATATGTAATGATTTCTCTAAGCCATATTTTCTGAAAATTCCAGAAACTGCATTTTTTCTGGTCTATGAGTAATTTGGGGATTTTACGGAAAGTCTCCAAAATTTTCTGTTCCTAGTCTGGGAACCAATTCCGAGGTTAGGCTAGGTAGCAAATTCCAAAATCTTCCCAGGAACCGGAAAAATTCCTCATCAATCATGATACTAAGATTTATTTCTTCAGTATTGGTGAAATGTGAATACCCAGCTGTATCTCCACCTGTAAGTGAAAATAAAGTCACTAATATTGTGTTAGTTAAATTTACGAATTCTGAAACATCTTTATTTATGAGGGCTAATATTTATAGGTTTCCAACACCTACATACTGTGGGTAATTTTGTCTGTTAAAAAATAAATATAAATAAAATATTCTAATGGAAACTCAAATTTGTTTGGTTTGATATGCAACACACACTCAATTTCTAACTTAACCTAACTTAACCTAACTGAAAAACATCGGTTAACTTAAAATCCTAAAATTCCATGGAAGACCGAAAAGTTAATAAGACCTTCAATTTCATTTATTTTGGAAGACATTATTCATTTTTGTTGGATTCATGGACATACATAGCCAATATATCTGCACTTGATTCCACCACTGTCAATGGCAAAGTGAATTATTACCACCACTCCAAATGTTGCACAAAAAGTGGTAATGTAATTCATGCAATACATTGAATCACTAAGGGAATTAAAAAAAAGGAACATGAATTTATGTCACTGAAGTTATCTTATTTGTAACAAATTGTGGTTAAACTGATACACAAATGAAACATGCCTGGGAACTACCTGGTACTGGTTACCTGGCATATTTGGACTTATTAAAATATGAAATTTAGGCTACTAAGTATTTATACTAATGAAATAATTATTTTGCTAGTGCTGGACGGTTATTAATTGCGCTCATTAGGAAAATTGGGTCGATATTATATCTGATAAGGGACGTCAGTCACCATCCCACATGGAGCAGTTCTCACCACTCTTCAAATAGACCACTTATGACTTTTTTAGCTTAATTTGATTTCCATACATTTCTACACATAAATTATTTGGTCTAGTTATCTTAAAGGCTTACCTTTAATGATGGTTAGGAGAATTTGGAGGATATAAGCAGCGATGAGGCAAGTAGAGGCTGGCGGATGTTCCTACACAAACCTGGAATTCTTTTAAAAAGAACAATACAATTCTTCATGTGCTGTTCTATATGGAGGATATCTTATAAAAAATATTATTCCTTTGCAGATTTATACAATTTATGTGCATCCAATTCTATTTATTTTCTTTTGGTTTCAAAATATAGTTCCATCGTAGTGGTTATCGGGCAGGGGTGTGAGTACCACGGAAATCTCCCATGTTCGAATAACGAATCGTAGATATATATTTTTTTTAGCCCAGAGTGCTTCTTGCAAACCGACCATGGGGCTACCATAGCAAGGTGTACACCGCGGATCTTCATGCAATTGGCCCTTAGCCGCAATTGGTTAACACTCCCCTACCATTCTCCTGTCTTAGTTCTAAATGGTTTACGTCCATCACCAGTTTTACTGTATCATCTGTTTCTTTCCGCGTCCGAAACACAGTTAGGTGGTGAGGGAGAGTGGGAGGTGTGTAGGAACCAGCTGTACTGTACCATCTGTTTTATTCCCTCCCACACACAGTCAGGTGAAGAGGAAGAGTGGAAGGTGTACATGAACCAGCTGTACAGGGGTAATGGAGTGAAATTCGTTACCTCCTGGAGAGGTCACAACTTTACATCCAAAGCTGAACTTTTCCCGGACAAGCTGTCCGATCTTCATGGTTTTGTGTTGACGGTAAGTTTATCTCCAAGATTCTCTTTTAAATATGACCTCTGATACTCCTGTGTTGAGAGTGCATATCGTGACCTTTGATCCCACTCCCTGGAGGAACTGAATAATGACTATGAATCTGAAGACTTCCTAGACGCAGTACAGGACAATTTTTTGAACCAACTAATTTCAGAACCTACTAGAGGTGACAATATATTAGACCTAGTATTAACAAATAAAGAAAATATTATCAGAGATATCACAGTAGGGGAAGAACTAGGAAACAGTGATCACAGAGAAATCAGGTTCACCCTAAATTGGGAAACGAAAAACAATGACAATATGGTCAGAGTCCCAAACTTTCGGTTGGCGGATTATCAGGGGTTAAGAAGGTACCTAGGTGAGGTCACCTGGGAACAGTAAGGTCAGTCCCCAGTAGGAAGGGGTGAGGTCACAGATGACACAACATTTGATCATGACTATAATATATTCATTAGTATACTACATAAAGCACAAGAACAAAATATACCATACAGAAAAATTTGGTCAAATAAGACTGAGCCAAGGTGGATGACCAGAAAACTTAAACACGGCATAGGAATAAAGAAAGGAATTTATAAGAAATTAAAGGGAGGGGAGGAGCAGCTCAGAAATAGGCATAATGAACTATCTAGGAATGTTAAGAAAAATGTAAGGAAAGCAAAGAGAGACTATGAAATCAGAATAGCAAGAGAATCCAAGGCAAATCCCAAGGGATTTTTCCAGGTATATAGAACATAGGTCAAGGACAAAGTTGGGCCTTTAAAGTCAGGGAGGGGGGAAGTGATCAATGGCAGTGAGAAATAAGCAAAGCATTGAACAGCTACTTCTTATCAGTTTTCACAGAAGAAATTCGCGAGGAAATTCCAGAGGTGGAACTGATATTTAGGGAAAAGGAAGAAGAGAAATTAAAGAATATCACTGTCAGAAAAGAGGATGTTCTTAAGAGGATAAATAAACTAAAGAAGACAAAATCCCCAGGGCCGGATGAAATTTTCCCTCGAGTCTTAAAAGAGTGTAGGGAACAGATTAGCGGACCCCTCGTAAATAAATTTACAAAATCATTAGACACGGGAGTTGTGCCACACTTGTGGAAACAGGCAAATGTAGTACCCACATTCAAAAAGGGAGACAGAGCGTCAGCGTCAAATTACCGGCCGATCAGTTTGACGTCAGTAGTGGTGAAATTTCTTGAATCAATTATAGCAGATGGCATCTGATCGCATTTAGAGAAAAGCAAATTAATCTACGACTCTCAACATGGGTTTACAAAGGGAAAATCTTGTCTAACAAATCTGCTGACGTTTTTTAGGAAAGTCTTCGAGGTAGTAGATAATGACGAAAATTACGATGTTATTTACTTAGACTTTAGCAAAGCATTTGACAGAGTACTGCATCAGAGGCTTCTGAGAAAAGTTAAGGCTCATGGTATCGAGGGGAAAGTTTTAAATTGGATAAAATCATGGCTCACCGATAGAATGCAGAGGGTCTGCATAGATGGTGCTAAATCTGAGTGGGGCTGTGTAACCAGTGGGGTTCCCCAGGGGTCAGTACTAGGACCACTCTTGTTCATAATCTACAAAAGCGATCTAGATACTGGGATCAGCAGTGACATAAGCAAGTTTGAGGATGACACCAAAATAGAGCGGCAGATTAATTCAGGGCAGGATGCAAATGCACTACAGGAGGATTTAAATATACTGCCGAGGTGAACTGAAAAATGGCATACGAAATTCAACACCAGCAAGTGCAGCGTACTTAATATTGGAAGAACAAATACTGTCAATGTATACAGCCTTAACAACATCAACCTAGAGAAGTCGGCTTGTGAAAGAGACTTAGGGGTACTTGTAAGCCAGGACCTACGGCCTAGAAAACAGTGCGTTAATGTTCGAAATAAGGCAAACAGAGTATTGGGTTTCATATCTAGAAGTGTAAGTAATAAGAGTGCAGAGGTCTTATTGCAATTATATCTTGCGCTAATCAGGCCGCACCTCGATTATGCAGTTCAGTTCTGGTGCCCTTATTATAGAATGGATATCAATTCACTGGAGTCGGTGCAGCGAAGAATGACGAAAATGATTCCGGGACATAGAAACCTTCCATATGAAGATAGGTTAAAGAAACTAAACTTGCATTCCCTAGAAAGACGAAGAGTGCGGGGAGAGATGATAGAAGTTCTTATAATATCCGAGCAGGATAGGACTCGGAGCAACGGATTTAAGTTGGATAAGTTTAGGTTTAGGAGGGAGATAGGAAGGAACTGGTTTACAAATAGGGTGGTGGACGGGTGGAACAAGCTTAGCAACTTTGTAGTAAGTGCTGGAACACTGGAAACTTCATGGATGATAGAGAGTGGTAGTAACTCTCGACAGGAGCTGCCATGCACAGGCCAACTGGCCTATTGCAGACTCCTTATTTTCTTATGTTCTTATGACCCTCTTCCTACAGGCTGTGACCTTCGTGTGGGAACCCAGTATATTCTATTACCGTGACCAGAGCGGCTCGGTTATCTTCCGTTACGGTGTTGATATAGAAGTCATCAGACTTCTGGCTGCTACGCTCAACTTCACCGTTCACTTTATAGAACCTCCCAAGGGTATGTAGAGCCTTCCTAGAACCTCCCAAGGGTGTGTAGAACCTTCCTAGAACTTCTCAATGGTGTGTGAAGTGCATTTAGAATCTCTCCGAAGCGTTTTCAGTGCATGTCGATCTTCTCCAGAACATATCATTAGCGTGTGAATACTACTCCTAAAAATTCTATCTTTAACATTATTATAATCATTGAAACAACCAGTTTCCTATTCATCCAGTCAATCATTCTTCCTCCTTCATTCTCCTCCCTTCTTTCTTCTTTTTCATATCGTCTTGTTCCAAATCTATCCTCCTCTTCTTCTTCGTATTCGTCTTTTCTCCTTCCTCCTTCCTCCTCCCATTCCTCTCCTTCTTTCATCTCCTTTTTCCCTTTCCACTTCCTCTTCTTCTTCCTCCTCTCCCTCTTTCTCTTCCTTTCGTTTCTCATTTTTCTCTCCATCTTCCTCTTCCTCTCCTTTTCTCCCCCTCCAGGTGAGTTGTGGGGTTCACAGCAGGAAGATGGGACATGGACGGGCATGATGGGTAAACTGGACACAGGAGAAGCGGATATGGGCGTGGCTAACTTGTATGTCTCCATCAGTAGAGTCGGTATACTGGACTTTACGGCCCCTTATGACTCAGAGGTATGTCGTCTCTCTCTCTCTCTCTCTCTCTCTCTTCATCTCCAATTTCGAGTATGAATCTGAACCTATTTTTTTTATTTCAATAATGACCTCGATGATGACCTTTGATCCGAATGATACCTAAACTATGACCTTGACCCCCGCAGGAGACTTGTTTCCTGGCCCGCCGTGAGCCGCCCCTCCCTCGTTGGCATGCCCTGGCTTACCCCTTTACCTGGACCACCTGGCTTGCCATCTTGGTTGGCCTTCTAACCTCTGGGCCTGTACTCTTCCTCCTGACCTACACCTCTAGTACCTTGTGAGTCTTTACCGTCTTTGTTTTCTTCCCATTCGAGTTATTTTATTTTATTTCGTTTGCGTTTCCCTTTTCTTTTTTCTTCCTCCCTCTTCTTCGTGGTATTCTTTCCTGTCAACTCTCCTCCTCCTCCTATTCCTTCTTTTTTTTCTTATTTGTTTGTTATTGTTTAATACATTCACACATAGGCTCCAGTCACTGAAGATCCCTAATCCTAGCAGGTGCTAGTCCTAATAGGCCCCAGTCTTAATAGGCCCCAGCTCTGAAGGACCCCATTCATAATGGGCCCCAGTTCTACTAGGCTCTAGTTCTAATGGGCCCCAGTCATAATGGACTCCAATCCAAATAAAATAGGCCATAGTTATAATGGTGTATTAAAAAAGCGTTATTTCCTTTATTTTATTTCTTATTCCTATTTATTAATTACTCTTATATTCTATAATTCTCTTTTTTATTCTTCATCTTTCTTTCTTTCTTTCTTTCTTTCTTTCTTTATACTAGTGAGAGAGGGAGGAGTGAGTATTAATATTTTGTGTAATACCTATTTTATATTCATGCTTTCAGTGTACCACCAAAACCGTTTTAACAGAAATTATCGTGTAGATAGATAGAAATTACCATTGCAATAAATTACTTGTCAACTAGACATAATACTGACAGCTCTGTCCCCTTGTTCCACTTTAAGACAACCCATGTTGTACTGCCCCCCCCTTATCATATTTATGTTTATCAACTGCAATGTACCAATGTATAGTATATATATATATATATATATATATATATATATATATATATATATATATATATATATATATATATATATATATATATATACATATATATACATATATATATACTATATATATCTCAGATACTATATATATACATATATATATATATATATATATATATATATATATATATATATATATATTTCATTAGCCCAATAAAGCACGGACTTACATATAATCAATATCAACTCGGATTCGAACCACGGCTCCAGCGGAACTGTATGTAAAGTCTGACTTTTTATTTAAGTTAGCGGCGCCTAATGACTACTCGAGCAGGTGGTCAGGTGTTTTTAAATAACAGCGAGGACTATATACTTCATAGCCCAAGTGAAGTCCGCGCGTTTTATTGGCGATTGAAATATATATGGATCCTCGTGTTTCGAAGCCGGATTTGGTAAAACGTTACTTGACCACCTACGTGATACGGGTGGTCCCTATTTGACGTTCACGGCACCATAAGCTCGTTGAACAGGCTTTGTGTGAAATATAACAAAGTCTAGGACTGCTTTTAGTATCCTGGTGGTCCAGCGGTTAGCATTCCCGTCACACATAGGTTGTGCCGGGTTCGAATCCTGGCGGGTGGAGGTTATAAAATAATTCTTGTTCCTGACATCAGAACAAGGCGTTTGTCTATTTATACATTTGGCATTTGTTGTTTTGTTTTATCCAAAATATGAAAGGATTAACATAAAAAGAACACATGTAAGAAACATACATCACAGAAGATTAGCCTTCTTTATGTTGGGATACTGACTTCGATGTGTGGTGACCACCTTAAGCAGGTACTGCTTTTGATCTTCGGTTTTCGTAATTGAAGAGTTGTAGTCCTGCAACTCTTGTAGAATTTCAACTTTGACTGGAAAAAGACTGTGTCATCATTCCATTGGCTTTGAATCTTTGGAGACAATCCAGAATCCAGGAGCGTGGTTTGAAAGAAGCAGTTGTATTTGTGGATGCAAGGTTTTTTAAGCTCCAGTGATGGAATTTCCTCTTCTGTCACTTTCAGCTTCTTTTGGACATTCCTTTTCTTGTTCTTTCCCTTCATTGACTCAAGAGTTTCTCTTTCTCAGCATACGAAACACTATCACTGAAGAGATGCCGCTGGAAGAAGCCTTTGTGCTGCCATTCCAACTGATTCATCTATTTTCTCCCAATACTAATGGGGTTGTTTAGGGAAGGATGCTCCGTGGCGAGGCTGCTGCGCGCAGGACAGAGCCAATACAGAGTGACCGACCAGGCCGTTCATATTGTGGCAACTACTGCAGCAGACTATGGAAGGAACATTGGTGAGCTGCCCATCAGCCGTTCCACAATCAGGAGAGTCGTATCCGATATCGTAGAGATCACACACTGTGAGGAAACATGTATCCTCTTGAGCCAAGACTGGGTGGCGGTTTCGGTAGGATGACGCTCACTTCCATCTCAACGGAGAATCTGTTGAACGACTCTGTGCAGGTAAGGGAAGATATCTACTGGCAGGGAATAGCCAGGTTATTTGGGCGTTCCACACCTATCATCAGGAACGGGAGTGGCGCAAGCTAATGTATGGTAGATACTTTTGAAAGATTGGAATATCGATGACCGGGTTGTGCCATGGCATTTTTATAGCACTAACACTGGTCATCGTGGGTCTATGATTGAAAGTGGGAAGAAATCTCTACTGCATTTGGTACGGGGCACATATGGAAGTTAATTCTTGAGATCATGCAAAAGCAATTTGGCGGTGCTCCGGTAGATACCGATGTTCCTCTTGTTTGAAGGTTTAAAAGCAGGCGTAATCAAGCAGTTGGAGCTCAAGACGGGAGAGACTAATGGGTGTATCACTGCAGTGTTGAAGGGGAAAATTCTGAATGGTGCAAATTGCATCGACTACTACGTAAAGAGGCTCCGGGCTACAAAGCCCAGGACGATTACACACTCAAACATGGAACTTTGTGTGATATTCCTGGGTGGGACTCCGCCCGAAGGGATTCGTTTTTGGAAAGCCTGGCCCAGTACACCATGCTCGTTGGATGTCTAAGCACGTACCCTCTCTCTCTGAGGCCAAGGTATTTCATGAGCTGCAAAACACCCCAGTTTCCAGCTATGCTCGGAGAAGAAGCGTTCAGAACTTATTCCCTTTTGTTGCTCTTGTGTACGGTCCAATGTGGTTCCAAAGCTCCTGAAGTGTTTGAAGCTCAAGCAATGATGATATATCCTTCCTCAAAACAACTTCATTACTATGAAGAAAATAGATGAATCAGTTGGAATGGCAGCAGCAGCTTTCAGCGGCATCTCTGGTATTTAAATTGTGAGAGTCCAGTAGCTCTGGCTCTCTTCAGTGATAGTGTTTCGGCATGGCAGAAAAGAGAATCAGGTGTGAGAGGAAGAGCTTGAAAAGGGCTGTGAAGCAAGAGAAGTGACGAAGAGGAGAATTCCATCACTGGGCAAAACCATGTCACAAGTACTAACTGCTTCTAGCACAGAGCCGCTCTGGGTTCTAGGATTTAATACCGAGGTCAAAGCAAATGGAATGACGATCCACAGTTCCTTCAAATAGAAATTCTACAAGGGGGTTGCAGATTGGGGAATGGTATGACGACAAGAGCGGGTGACTTCCCCGGACTACAACTCTTCAATTGCAACGAAGATCAAAAGCAGTACCTGCTTCAATTGGTCACCACACATCAGTCAGTATCCCAACATAAAGAAGGCTGTCTTCTGTGATATGTTTTTTCTCTTACATGTGTTCTTTACGTATCTTTATATTGGATAAAATAGAAACACCAACAAAATAAATGTAACAAATAAATCACCTGTATCTGATGT